GCCACATTAACATAAAAAAAAATCAATACTCATTATTTAAACCCAGGAGAGGAGAACATATGCAGCAGGACCACATTAAATGTTCACTCACTTCAGAGGTTCAGTCCAAAAGGTTGTAATTCTGCTGAGATGTGTAGCAGTCAACATTTGTTATGTTTTAGGGGTAAAAAAAAAATATATGGCGAGTAATAGTGGACATAAATTGTCTGAGCAGAGTGATGCAAAAGTGTTTTTGACAAATTTCACAGAAGCTAAAACTAGATTATGCAGTTTCTGGGGAAGTGGCAGAGGGGTTGTTACTACTGTTGTTTGTTATTTCAAAATTGAATCGATCAGCTGAAAGACCTCAGGAAATATAGCAGTCATCTGAATGCTTAATCAGCATTGACATTAATGAAAAATTTAGCAAACAAAAACATATACTGGGATTGTTTACTTTTCAACACTCTCGCCAATGACATGTCTCTATTAGAGACTGCCGAAAAACAACACTAGATGATTTAAAATAAAATTAAAACAAGAATCAAGGACAAATATTCAACCTTGTTGCACAGTAATTAAAACTAGAGAGAGGTCAAACTCTTTTATGCCATCCTTTTCTTTCAGTATAAACTGACTGGATTGAATATTATACTCATTAGTTGAACTGGACTTTGCATGGATCTTGGCTTGATTTGGTTGGTTTATTGGCCTTTTTTCCCGCTACAATTGCAGCACCACAAGTTCTCAATAGAGTTCTTTTTATTTTACTGCCAGCCTTGAGTGCCATGCTGTCAGCAGCAGGGTCCACATAAAAACTTTCATTAGCTCTTGCAACCAACTCGACAGTCTGCTCAAGCCTTCCTTGTACAGTTTGAGATATTTTGCTCTCTTAGCTGAGTGTAGCGATGATGCTATCTCCTCAATAACTATACTTCATTAGCACATTTTGGCAAACAGCTATGTAACCACATTAAAATGAGCCGGTCCTGCGCTACCATAATAAGTACTCTTAATGTTATTCAGCAGGAAACGCACAAGCATTTTGGATGAATAAGTTTTCACTGGAGGTGGGTTATGCAGTCAAAATGATGATATGGATGTATAACAGTGCTATAATGCAAACACACAGTGTCCTCACTGTGTAGTGTAAAGGCTCAGTGACCTTTATTCTTGAAAACCCTGAAAATCCCATATTCACTTTATTCATATTTATTCTCGTTTAAGTAGCACTTGGTATTCTTTTCTCCTTGAAGACTTCGTTAGAATCTTCACCTTTACTAAAATAAAATTTTAAAAAATCCCAAAACCATCTGCATTAATAAAAAATGACTCATGGGTGGTGTCAGAAGAGCTCAGTTACAGTACCCAGTTCTACAAGTCTGCAGCTCACAGTCAGACAAACACCGAAAGAGTGCCTTCAGGTTCAGTGGGGCATTCAGCCCCATTCATTCTCTGTCGTTGGCCTCAGGTTATCTCTCTGATATTTAATTAAGGAGCTGAATTCTGTTATGAAAATGTTGCTGAAGCTGAACAATAAGTGAGGTACATCCAGTAAAGTATTATCATATTATATTATAAAATTAAGCCTTCACCTGCATGGCTGCTAATTAGGATAATCTAGATCCTGAATTAAACAATTAATCAGAGCTAAATCCTCTTTATAGGCCATTTTATCCTTGCAAAAGCCTTTTGGACCCCATTGAGTGCTGTATTGAGAACACACCCTGATGCCACAATGAAGGTGCTAATAGCATTACAGATCTGGATAAAGGGAGATATGGCACAGCCTGATGAGTGCATAAACAACCAAGCTGTTCTGTAATGACACCTTCATGGGTCATTTGGAGCTTCATTTTCATTCTTTACAGCTTATTCGTTTCTATCGTCTTTACCCAATGGTCTGCTTGGTCTTGTTTGTTGAATATCTAGCAACAGAAACACCAGGAGCCACAAGTGGTCCAGACTTTTTTTCCCATCACAGTGTGGATCCTGCTCTGAAACCTAAACTGTGATGAGGATAATTAGCACAAACAATGTTATAGCTGAAGAAATGGCATTTGAGCGATGCCACATATAAAGTCAAAGGAGGTGGAGGGGCTCTCCATCTTTCACCAACCCCCATAAAATATAGAAGAATACAGTTTTCTTTCATGATTAATTGATTAAGCTTAGAGTTAGAAACACACTGTTTTTAGTTTTTGTTTCACCAGTTTGGTTGATTAATATTAGCTTAGTAGAAAACACAATGACCCACTTTTCTGGTTGATTCAAGGCCTTTTTTCACTCTTGGTTTAGGTAGTTTGTTTTGGCAGTGTGTTTTGATAAATAAGAATTTGGGAGAGAGGTTTAGTATTGTGAGACTTTAAAAAAAATTAACTTGAATTTAAAATGCTTACAGTTCTTTTAAACAATTGATTTAAGTGCTCTAACATAATTTGGGGGCTTGCCTGGGATTTGGAACCAGAACCTACTACAAATCCAGTTCTTGCTGATGGATGTGGCATATTTTTTGCATCAGGCATTACCAAAGTTTTTACAGTTCACCCTGAGAGAGGCATGAAAGGTGACATTAAACGCTACATGTATAAAGGCTAATTTACGCCTGGATGTAGATGTAAAACTGTCTGTGAAGCTGGATTTAAGAAATAAGTGCTTAAAGCTTTAAAAACATTTTTAGCGCCATCTTCTCTCAGTACAACAGTCAATCTTAATAATCCCCACCCACACACACACACAATGCTGTAATTACTGAATAAACAAAACAAAACACACAATTTCCAGAGTCCTCTAAAATGCTTCGGGGCCTCATACAGCAGCAGACAAGATATATTCCTTTTGGAACAAAGAGAAACTATTTATGGTCAATTGTGCTGGGATAGATGTTAAAAATGGATGGGTGCTAATTAGTGAGAACCTTTAGTCTTTAGTATATCAGACTGTGCCTATATACTAATAAGAAGCTACTCCTTCACAACAAAATATCAGAAAACAATGGTGCATTGACCATAGAATATTAACAAACGCACGTGTATTTGACCAAAAGTGACTGTACACAGACTCCCCTATTGTTCTTGGACTATCATCAAAGTCACACAGTAGGTTTGAGCCAAACACAAAGCTTGTCCCCACCAAAGATCAAAGCGCGGTCGAGGCTTTCATGCAGCCCACTGCATTGTGTTCATCATGAGCCACTTTGCCTTTTGTTCATTCATGTAAATGGAGATGATGAAAGAGGTGGTGTTGCTGCAGACGAGCCAATCTGAGTCGTGCTCTGAGAGACCAGCAGAGCACTCTGGCTTCTCCTCTGAAATCCCCTGTAAGCTCCTACAGTATATCTTCGTGGCTCACTGAAATATTAATCGGGCCTTGAGCAAAAGCGGCAAAGCCACAAAAATCACATATACAGAACCACATGTGAATGAGCACACATTTACGGACACACACACACACACACATTGTTCAGACCACAGGACTTGTATAATTCAGTGGCTCAGTGCTTTTGATATCTACTGACTGCATGGCTCACTGTGGAATATTGAGCCTCAGACATAACTTCCTCCCCAGAGACAATAGAGGAAACTGCAGAGCTCTTCTACCCTACTGCTGTTCATTGAACACAAAGCATACACACTTGAAAATGGTCCTCCTATATTTCACGCCACAGAATCAGTGTGTATTGCTTGTGTGTGCAATACACCATCTGGCATTACAGTTTTATGTTCTGAACAGTAATTAATTCAGTCACCCCAAAGGAGGCTCTGTGCAGGAACAAATAGAGATGTCAATAACCAGTCATGTAGGGATGACAAGCACAGACAAGAGTTCAGATTTGTGGTAAGCAATATTCCAATTTTGCTTGCAGCGGTTGCAGTTTCTGGACTTATGCTTTCCAAGACATGATTGAATTTGAATGTATTTTGTGGCATTTAAAGGTCAGTGCTTCTCATCGTATGTAAAAAAATACTTATCTAAAAACATCCGAGATGGAACCACTTTAAGTTTTCAGCATTCTATATTGTCAAAATTCTCAGTTCACTTTTTAATTTGATTTGTTGTTGTTTTTTCCTTCTTTTTCCTGCGTCTGATTGCACTGTAGACAAAGAGGGAACAAACTGCTGTACAGGGAAGTGAAAATGATGCAAAGTGCCAAAAAGAAGATGCCAGGACTTGTCAGTTTTAATGTCCTTGGCCATGCTGAGGCCAGCTTACTACGTCTGAGCTCTGTCGCTGCATGTGTCAGCTCATTCCAATCCAGTGTTTGTCATAAAGACAGCAGCACTCACAGATCCTGGCACTGTTTATGCACAGCCTAGTTTCCCACAAAGTTGGGAATGGAAAGAAAATCTCTACACTTACACACACCCACAATTGTACTTTGTACATTGCAGTGGGTAAATGTTCGTGCTTCTCTATGACAGCGGGATTACACACCTGATCAGGCCCACACTACACCAGAAAGATCACTGAACAATGAAAAAAGGCAACAATAACAATATCAGTAACAATAAAAACACCTCTGCACAGTCTTTTTTCTTTTGTTTTCTTCTTATATGCGCACCAGGCAGGATTAACCACAACAACTAATGATGCAGATCTCCATTAGTTTTCCTCTGCTAGTGCTGAAGCCCACTGGCTCCCAAGGGAAAGTGGATGGTGCTCGCTCAAAGGTGGATGAATCACTGGGGAAATTTGGGTACAGTTCTGACTTTCTTTAGCGCGCACACCCAAGCCGTTTGGGCAAATATAAGGGAGGAATTATATAACTACAACCGGAAACCGCAGAGACAACTGATATTTTAAGGGAATTAGCCACCAGGCATAACCTGAAATAAACATAACTATTTTTCTAAGGAGGACACAAGCACCAGCAGCAAACAGAAACTTCTCTGGGAACATCGAAAACGACACTTTCAAAGTAGTCTTGTAAGGTATCACGTTGCATAACATCTTCGGGGTCGTGTCGTGTCCACCCGCCGTACCAGCAGGACAAACACGCCGCATGAACTCTTAATGCCAGCGCCTCTTTAACCTAACGTGTCACCTGAACGCACCGCGACAATAACCGGATTACAATTTGGCTTCCCACAAAATGTCGAAATTCCCATCAAGTCGCTCTCTTTGCAGGTCTAATGAGTCATGACATTAACTGAGCCTAAGGTTGTTCCTCCCACGCCCCTCCAGCCCACTCCTCTCTTTATTTAAGGCGCTCCTCTGCTGCAACACTCAGAGCAGCAGGCGCACAGTCAGCGCAGCTCTCTCCTGCCGCCGCGGAGGGACGAGAGCTCCAGCTTTGTCACGTTTTCCCGGATTTACCCGTCAGCTCGTCACGATGAGACTTGTTCCAGTCGTGCTGGCGGTTACGGCTCTGTTGACAGGTAGGTGAAAGAGTTATGCCTTTCTTTTCATTCTGTTTTTTCACCCCTTTTTTTTGTTGAGTGCTGTACAATAAGTTTCTTCAGGACCATGGACAGAGACGCCATCGATTCCTCAGATTCGCTACAAGCAAACTATTCGCTTATCAACCTATATGTTTAACACAGATACTTTTTTTTTTAATTATTCCAATGCAGGAAATCTTGCGCTTCCAGTTGGTAAAGAAGAGCAGAGAGAGGATGTGGTATGTTTTTCGATTCGTTGCTTTTTAATCAAAGCATTTTCTGTGCAAAGATCTATATTGTTATTTAGCTCATTTGATTTTTCCAGGTAACACGATGTTTGGTTGAAGTTCTGTCCAAAGCTCTCTCCAAACCGGACTCTCAGGTCGATCAGCAATGCAAAGACATCATCCAAGCAGGTCTGTAGCACAAATGATCGGTTGGATAATTCCAGGATTGTTATTATTATTATTATTTTTTAACCTTCAGACGGGTAAAACAGCGCTCAGAGCGCAAGTGAGAAGCTCAAAGCTTTGAGCAGGTATAAAATCAGGCAGCAGTTTACATTAAAAATGATCATAGTTTTCACATGACTTCTCTAAAAAAAAAGTAGTGCTGATTTCCTCAGATCATTATTCTTTTGATCTAAAGGTTAAAATTCCACTACAAATCCATCATAACTTGCACCTGTGTAGCTCTTTGTGGATTGTTTATAATATTTCTTTTGCTCTGTCACAGGTATTATACATGCCCCGTTGGACAAGAAGAGTGGGGATGGCTCAGTAACTCATGAAGAGATAGTCAAAGTTCACGCAGAGCCAGTGGCAAAGGCAGCAGATGTGAAAGACATCGAGGAACTCCTGAAGTCTGTGGAAGAAAAAAGAGAAAACCCAGAAGATGAGCGCAGCCAAGAATCCTGGAGTCTGGGTGATGAGAAGGACAAGAGACATGAGAACGATGTGGAAGAAGAACGGGAGAAGAGGAGCAGCTGGAGGCCTGGAAGATTCCACCAAAGAAGGCACAAACGAGGAGAGGAAGAAGAGGATGGCGAGCGCAGCCAAGAGAGTTGGGGAGTAGATGAAAAGAGGTCAGACGATGAGGAAGAGGAAGATGAAGACAGAGAGAAGAGGAACTGGAGGCCTGGAAGATACCACCAAAGAAAACACAAACGAGACGAGGAACCTCTAGGAGAAAACGAGGTAGATGAGGAACGTAGCCAAGAGCGCTGGGAAGCAGACAAAAGGCACGGGGATGAGAATGAGGAGGAGAGATACAAACGCATTTGGAAACCCACACATCGCTATCATCACAAGAAAACCCTCCACAAACGCAGCGACGAGCCATCAGAGGGCGAGGAAGATGGAGAACGTAGCCAGGAGTACTGGGATTTTGATGCCGGAAGAGATAAGAGGGACTGGAGACCTGGCAGGTACCACCAGAGGAGACACAAACGAGATGAAGAGCTGTCAGAAGAAGCCAAAGAGGAGCCAGAAGAAGAACGCAGTCAGGAAGACTGGGATTTTGACACTGGAAGGGAGAAGAGAGAATGGCGGCCTGGCAGGTACCACCAGAGGAGACACAAACGAGATGAAGAGCTGTCAGATGAAGCTAGGGATGAACCGGATGATGAACGCAGCCAAGAAGACTGGGATTTTGACACTGGAAGAGAGAGGAGGAACTGGAGGCCCGGCAGGTACCACCAGAGGAGACACAAACGGGATGAAGAGCTGTCAGATGAAGCTAGGGATGAACCGGATGAAGAACGCAGTCAAGAATACTGGGGTTTTGATACCGGAAGAGATAAGAGAGACTGGAGACCTGGCCGATACCACCAGAGGAGACACAAGCGAGATGAAGAGCTGTCAGAAGAAGCCAGAGAGGAGCCAGATGAAGAACGCAGCCAGGAATACTTTGATTTTGACACTGGAAGAGAGAAGAGAAACTGGAGACCCGGCAGGTACCACCAAAAGAAACACAAACGAGATGAGGAGCTCACAGAAGAAGACGCGGAGGCGGCAAAGGACAGAGACGCAGCTTTGAGGTACTTCAAATATTTTTTTCACGTCAAACGACTTCTACTGTTAAGTGTCGCAGGTTCATTGCCTGCAATCTGGAGCACAAAATACTGCAGATTACTGTAAGAACAGAGAATAAAAGCCAAATCTCACAAATGAAACATGTGCTGCCATAAAAAACGAATAAATAAGAAGAAGTTGGTAAAAATCTAACCATTTTTCAGATATCTTGCTGAGAAGCGCAATCCCTGGATTTACCGAGGCTTCTACCACCCAGCCTGGTTTAAAAGGGATTCAGAAGAACACACTGCAACCTCAAACAAGGTAAGCACGAGGTTGTGACAATACAGCGTTTGACTGAAGATAATCAACTGCATATGACTGCTCTGTGTGCTACATCAAAGAGCGCTTAGTTTTGACATTTTTCAACAGAATGTTACTTCACCCAGTCTGAAGTCACTGTATATTTTTGTAGACACAATGTATTTTTTTCCTTTTTGTCTGTTCAGATGGATGAACTGACCAAGTTGCTGAGCTATAAGATAAACCAGCTGGCTAACCACTCTCCTCAAGAGGAGGCAATGAGGAGCTCACAGCAGAGAGCACTTACACCACAGGAGGTACAAAAAAAAAAGAAAAAAAAAAAGAAGGCTGCATTCACAAGTGCAAAAAAAAGTGTTTTATGCCACTGATGAAGACTGAAAATTAGTCTTGGAATCACGTCTGCTACTTATACTGATGACCAGAAGGGTTCAGACAACAAACAGGTAATTTAATATTACAAAAAGTCAGTTCATCCAAAAAACGCAATCTGATAAAAACCACACTGCACTCTGCAGCTGTTTCTGTAAACTATTTGCACCACATTTAGCTGACCTAGTAAAACCACAGAGCGCATCACACACCTCCACCGCACCGCTTCACGAGGAGAAAAAGCAGCTCGTCTCATTAGGGACATCTCTAGCCTGCACCGTGATCCTGGGATTTATCCTTCAAAAAGCTCAACGCATCTGTGCAAATGCACATCAAGAACCGCCCCTTGTGAGCATGTCCTCAAAACATAAAGGAGAATCTAACCAGTGCGTTCATGAGCAGCGACTCGTCTGGCTTGCTTTGAATCTGCGTGCTGACTTCCTCACAGCGCTTCTTTTTTTTTTTGCTCTCCCTGCACCAGCGTTTTATGAGTGCTGCAGTAATCACAGTAAGAACCACATGACTGCAGCTTCTCAGAGCAAACAAAGTTATAATATACCCATTAAAAAAAAAGAACTAGAGCCTACAGAGACCTCCCTGTCTTTGAAGCAGAAAAACAAATTAGGGAGGCGATGGCATAATGATTTATTAGTTCTTCAGCAATGCAACTACAAGCATGATGAGGGACTAGTTAACCTAAATGACCAATTACAATATTTTATTTGAAGCAGGCACAGGGTGGCGGGGGAAATAGAAGGAAATGTATGATCATTCAGTCCTGATTTCTATTCCAAATGTGATGCTGTTCCAGCAGGAAATGTTGGTAATGTGTTAATCTGTGTTTTTCAGGAGAAAGAGCTACAGAACCTGGCAGCGATGGATATGGAGTTGCAGAAAATTGCAGCCAAGTTGCATGAAAACACTGCATAACTGAAAAACAACAAAAAAAAGTTGCAATTTTACTGTATGTCTGCCAGTTCAGTGTGCTTGCAGTGTTAAAATGAAGAAAAAAACAACAACCCTGGAGCCTTGCCAAAGCATTTTAGCTGAGTTTTCGTTTTTGTGATATTTTGATGTTATCAAATCAAACAGCATGGGAATGGCTTGGATGTTTATATTCAGAGAAATGTAAAAACAATATATACATATATGAGATCATAATTACTTAAATGTGTTCTGCAGAGTTTGTTCTGACTGCACTCAATAAACAGTTATTCTGGGACCAAACCAACATCTCTCCTTTATTTATTGAAGAAAAAACGTGGTCACACATTTGGTTCTTTCAGTACTGCTTTTTAATAATGTGCAGGTAGAAATGTAGCCCGCAGTAAAGCTGCATCAGCAACTGTTTCATAAAACAAATGGCAATTTCTGCAAGAATAACAAAATAAAATAAAAGCAAGTTATAACGTAGAATCTGGAAAGCATAAAAAAAAAACTTTTACTTGTCTCAGGACAAAAACAACCAAAGCTGTTACTCTCGACACACAAACTATAAACTGGCTAACAATTTACTTCTCATCTCCACTGATGTGAGCACACCCGGCAGGAAAAAGTGTTCTGATGAATACAAACCAGACACTCGGTCTCCCCTTACTACTGATGGTGTCAAATCAGTTCAACATCACAGGAGGAAAAAAAAAAATCCCTACAGGCCTCTGGGAATGTGCCCTTAAAAAGATTTGATGCTTCTGTATTTGTTTATCCCTCCGTGTCTTCCAGTTTCTGTCTCTTTGGCGCTGGTTCTTCAGCTTGCTTAGAGCCTGCAGGTTTCGAGTGGTCCGTGGCAACGGTCGTCCCTGAGAGGAGGTAGCCCCCGCCCCCGCTCATTAGTAGCAGAGGATGTGTCCTGTCAGGCAACACCTAGGGACCAAACAGAGTCGCAGTCAGGAGACATTAACTCTGCAAGAATGGTTAGAGGGTGAATAACACTTTGGTCCTGAGAGTCTGCAAACATGCATTTATCTAGTTGCTGCTGCTTAGTATCCAATTCTGTAAGAAGCAATTGGAAAGAAAAGGAATGCAAAAATAAAGAAAAACAAAAGTAGGGAGTCTAATAATTTATCAAGAGCAGTGGCAATTAATGTAATGTAGTGATGCTCCCAAATGTAGAAGGGTTTTATAAGTTAGTCCAAAGTAAAGTGTTTAGAAATAAAAGAAGCTTCAACAGGGATAATCAGCAACATCCCCGTGTTCTAATTAATTCAATGCTTGCAGTTCCTAAGCGGAGAATTAGATTCTTTTCTGGATTGTGTCATTACACATTGTGAATACTTATGGTTAAGCAATAGATCCTGGTGGGACAACAACCAATGAATCGAAAGATAATAATCCACAATTATTAATTTGGGCAAATATATTGGGCCACACCTCTTCATCTTTGAATAAAGGTGTCCCATGTCCACATGTGTATAAAAATCAAGCACTTAAGCCATGCAGTCTGCATTTACAGACACTTGTGAAAGATCGGGTCCATCTACACAGTGTTTCAAAAGGTTTCAACGTTTATACATCGCTGCTATCATCAATTTGAGCATGACACTGTAACAGGATGTTATCGCAGCAAAAAGTTTGGGAAATTTATTTCTTGTTCGGCTGTAAGTGTGAAAATATTTACAAACCAAAGCAATTCAGCCACAAAGTGGAAGTCCATGTAACATTACAGACTGCTTAGGCAGACAGTGTTAAAAAAGCCTGGAGTTCCAAACCTCCTCTGACATAAACATCAGCACAAAACTGTGTGCTGGGAGCTCCAGGGCATGGATTTCCATAACCGAGCAAATGAGCTTCACATCACCAAGCACAATACCAGCGGAGAGGTATAAAGGTGCCAACACTGGACTCTGGAGCAGTGTTCTGTACAGTGACAAATCACACTTTGCTATCTGGTGGTCTGATGGATGGGTTTGGGCTCCCTGCCTGTCTGTATTGTTAAATTTGTAAAGTGTGGTAGAATAATAATAATGCCATGGGGTTGTTTTCCTGGATTGGCCTGCCCCTCTTTGTTCCAGTAAAGGAAAAGCTGGAACGACCCTTTTCTGTTGCAGCATGATTGTGCCCCAGTGCAGAAAGCAAAGTCCATAAAGGTACGGCTGGATGAGATTAGTGTGGAAAACTTCAATGGCCTGTGTAGAAGCCTGAACTCAAGCTCACTAAACACCTTTAACGTGATTTAGTATGAAAACTATGGGTCAGGCCCTCACGTTGAACATCAATATCTGAGCTCACAAATCTTCTGGATGAGAGGGCAGCAGTTCCCACAGACACGCTCCTAAATCTTCTTTAAACTCGGTTTTTATTGTTACCATCTACTTTTTTTAGTACCTGCTCAGTTGGGGGTCCAAGCGGTATGAGTCAATGGGAAAGTGTAATGTCAACTCTGTATGCCACAGACTATCCAGTCAGCGGCAGCACTTAATTAGTCATGAGAGCAATTCCTTCACAAACATCAAAATAATAACAAAAAAAAGTAGCAGTTGAGTCGAGTTGAGCAGAGCCGATGCTAATGGAAAAGAGGTAATTGTCTAGTTAACCTAAACAGTGATAAAGCAGTTAGCTGTGCTGATTTGAGTAATTATTCCCTGTTGCTTGTTGACTATGAGCCACCTTCATTATACTTTGATTATAGAATAGCTTCAAATGCAAAAAAAAACAAAAAAAAAACAGAAAGCGCACACAGTGCAGAGTCCAAATATTTACCTGGTAATGTCTCAGCCAGGTGTCTGTGAGTCTGAGGTTGACTGTGCCGCCACATTCCTTGAGTTTCTTGAAGCACTCTATGAGAGGCTGCGGAAATCAACATAGAAAATATGACAGATTGCTCTTTCTAGCAACATGGGCATGAAGGAAGTTAATAAGTTCAAGCAACCTCTTGGCGGTGATAATGCCCATTGCATTCATGTGGTATGGCAGCCCCCCCCCCCATTGGATGTCTAACCAATACAAGCCTGACTACAGTGGCAACTAATGAGAGATCTCACTTATTAGCTTTGTTCCGTACGGGACATGGAAGATCTTACCTCTATATACTGGGAATAAACTACAAAAGGCCTGGAGGGTGAGAGGAATTTGAGCAGGCCCAAAAGGACGGGACAGGGGTGAAACCGGCTCGCTATAACCAGCCTGCAGGTGAAGAAGAGAGAGATGATCAGGCAAACAAGCCTAGTATGAAATACACTGTCAGCTGTACAGGAAATGCGTAGGTAGGCAATACTGCAATTCAGTAACTAATGCTGCATGCAAGACATTAACGCAAGACTCAAGGATTTACTACCTTCCTGTAGTAGACATTCGTACTATATTTCAGAAAGCTGAACGAGAGAGCGAGTCAAAAAGGGTGTTTTAGGACAATGTGATTTTCATAAAGCTGCAGTGATTTAGAGGGGAATCAATAGAGAAACAAGCTCAACACTTGTATTCCAGTCTCAGATGTCACCTTGATAACAATTTATCCATCAGTCACAAAACAACTATAAGGCGTTCTTCACTTTATATGAGAGGAAGCTGCTGAGCAATCAATTTACTTACCCCGTAAAGGGCAATGTACAATAGTCAATATGTGTGTGCTCAGAAGAAACAAATAATTTCTAATGACTTTTATGGAGATAGTTAATGACACTATAATCATTCATAAATTTCTCATCCCTGCGATCTACTGTAATTGCTTCTTTCTTTTTTTTAATGACCTGGTTGAATATGGAGTAATTTTTAAAAAGGCAGAGCCGGAGCGGAGAGAGGTGGATGTTAGAAAGAGCGGGATGAGAGACAGAAATGTCGATGTAGGAATAAAATCGGACACCAACCCGTCGGCATTCCTTCCTTTCAGCAGGGCGGCGGTAGCTGCCAGCTTCCTCTGCTTCTCCTCTAGTCTCAGCTTTTTCACCTGAGCCTGTAGAAAACAAACAAACCCTGAGATCAGGAAACCATATGATAGTATGTGAGAGTCAATGATGTGTCAGCATCATTGATGACTGTGTCCAGTTGTTTAGTGATGATATATTACCCGTCCAATAATACTATTTATGCTGCCTTTTAACTTTGGCCCTGTCAACAAATGCTACTGTCATCCTTGTTTGTTTGTTTTTTTAAATAGTTTTAAGACTTCATGTGTTTTCACATCTATTGTTTTTTGGTTATGGTCTGAATTAGTAGATGAGTATTTAGACATGTAGTTTTTTTGTGTGTTTTAGTTTCTTTTCACTCAGCTAATCCTCCAAGTGAACCAAAGGTGCCACCACAAACCACATGAGAACGAGACAATAACATGGAAAATTCATCCCTCATATTTTTTATGTATTAATACACATCTATGTTATGTATTAATAGTACAGCCGAGAATGCAATCCATACATGGCTACAGAAACGACTCAATCTTGCAGTGTGCACTCGCGAGTTGGGTCGGATCACGTTGTCACCATAAAGAAACTGCTCTGGAATTAGTTTGGAACTGAACTGAGACCACCTCCTCCAAAGGGTCTCCGTATGATTGCTTTAGTCTGCACACGAGCACGATTACAGTGTCCACATCTGTACTGATTAACTGCACCAAAGAGGAATACTGTCCAGCCAACAGAATTTTTATTATGCAACTTACGCAACCAAGCATGCAGTGCCATAATATTGTGCTGTGGATGGAAACGCCAACTGTCATCTAACTTAACTTCACCAACCTTCAAAAACCTTGCCGGCACTTATTTACTCATGTTCCTTTTTTGAGTCCAAAGTGACAGGAGGCTGGTATATTTTTGTTTTTTAGGACATAAATCTTCTTTAGATGTCGAGTACCTCACTAGCTTAATGATAACTACTGCTAAATCTGCACACCCATACATATCTTCTTTGCCATGAAAACATGGAAGCCACATTTGACTGTCTGTGCAACTTCTATGAAGTCAGAGTAGCAACTTCATAGCAGCATAAAGAATTGGGAGTATTTACTCTAAATGGTGCATCTGTGTTTGCTTCCTTTTGTGAAGTGAGACTAGCAGGCTAGCTCCTGTTCCTGATGACAACAAAACTAAGAGGATTGAGGGGGGAAAAAAGGAAAGTGCATGAACGCTGGACACACCTTGGCTTCTTTGAGTTTATCCTTCTCCGTTTTCTCCACGTCCTGACCAGCATCATCACCAGTGTTGGTCACCATGCTCTCCTCCTCTGGAGTGCCTTGCTCTTCTGCCTCAGGCTGGTTTTGCTTCTTCTCTGCTGCCAAGTTCAACTGCTTTTCATGA